AGAGTGTCTCGATACGACCCCCCCTCCCTCCCCCAACCCTTATTCCCAGCTTCCTACCAGTTTTTAACCCAAAAATTTTCCGTCGGGGGGAAGCACATGTGAAACGGGAAAATTTTTGGATTTCGCCAACTTCCTACCGTTTTTTCCGGCAATTCCCAAAAATTTTCCTACTTTTTCCTTAAATTTTTGCTGTCGAGTGGAGGGAGGGGAGGGGGTATATAGCTAATATAGCCAATAAGACAAGGGAAAATGAAATGGGAAAAACCCCGAAATGTCAAAAACCTAGAAAAATTTTTCCCAGCGCGGCAAATTTCTCTCAAAGCACATACGACCCCCCCCCTCCCCAGCGGCCAAGTACGACCCCCCATGTGTTTCACACAACGATGCTGTACCCAGGACGCCAATAGGGCTTTTGTCCTTTCATCGCTGAGCTTCCACTACCTGCATCCTGTTAAATCCCTTAACACAGCTGCATATATCTCGCAATAACGCAGCAAAAAAGAGGGGACTCCGACCTTTCACAAATATTTTAGCTTTCAGGCTGCCGACATCGTTGGTGGATCTGATGGGTGACGTCCAGTAGACGCCCGATTGATGTCCACAGTGACTTTATTTTTCCTTTTTCCCGTTTTGACGTTATACTGCAGTAGCTCGGGATGCTGTGGCTCTGTCGTCACGGGACCATCTCAATATTTCATGCTGGGTTTTTTTTCTTATTTTTTTATATTGCACAACTTTGGAAATACGTCAATGATTCAAATCTATGGGTTTCATAGACAGCACTATAGTTCGTAGATGTTCTATAATTCAGGCATAATAAAATATTGTAACTAGTTGTTTTGTGTGACCCCTTCTACTATCCATTATTCTTACAATTTTGTGCAGTAGGAACAAGAGGTACGGACAAGTTATGGCACACTTGTCAGCGTAGCTGGGTTTGGCGCAGCCCAGCCTGTCTCTGCCATGTCGAACGGAACAAGCGACAACAATCAGTCAAGATTAGGTTGGTGCTGCAGCAAACCCGCCCCCTGACACGCTCCAGCATCCTTGCGAACAAAACTACAACCACGGCCATGATCCCTGCGAACGATTGGGTGTGTCACGGAGGGTAAATTCAAGCGCAACCAGGACAGCTTTTTTCACCAAATCAATTAGGTTGTCCGGAAAGTTCTCAGCGTTTTGAGTGTTTCACTTTAAACGATCATAACTTTCTTAATACTCATCGGATTTAATCGAAATAAGCACCGTTCGAATCAGCACACTTTTGCCAATGTGACAGTCGAGAAATCCCATCAAAGAAAAAAACTGGGTGGTCGAGAATCCACGAAATCCACTAAGGCTTTTTTGCCTGGTCCTGATTGATGAAGTATTTTCCAGCAAGGAAGTTCTGAAAATGAAAAGGTGATAGTCGGTTGGTGAAAGGTCTGGAAGAATATGGCGGGTGAGGTAGAACTTCAACCCCAATTCGTTCAATTTATGGATAGTGATTTGTGGCGGGCGTTGTCATGCAAAAGAATCGGACCCTTTCTGTTGACAAGTGCTGGCTGCAGCTGACGCAATTTTCGGTACATTTCGTCGATTCCTTCACAGTAGGACTCTGCTGTGATGGTTTGGCCTGGTGACAAAAAGTTATAGTGGATCACACCAGCCGATGACCACCACACTGTGACCATAATCTTTTTTCGTGAGGATTCGGCTTTGGAAATTGCCTCGGTAGGTTCGTCGGCATCCAACCACTGTCCGGAACGTCTCCTGTTATCATACATGATCCACTTTTCATCACAGGTGACAATTCGGTCCAAAAACGGGTCGTTTCTGTTGCGCAAAAGCAGTGAAGAAGAAACCTCGAGACGTGCCAATTTCTGCCGGTCACTCAAATGTGGGGCACCCACTTGTCGAGTTTTTTCACCTTCCCAATGCGTTTCAGACCATCCGCAACAGTGGATTTGCCAACGCCTAGCTTTTCTGCAATCTCTCGAACTGTTTGGGATGGGTCAGCCTCCACAAACGCCTTCAAATCCTCGTCAGGTATTGCTTTCGACCGCTACGAGGTTCATCTTCAAGGCTGAAATCTCCAGAACGAAATTTGTCGAACCATTGTCGCACGGTGCTTTCTCCAACACTATTGGGCCCCCACACCTGGTTAATTTGTCGAGCTGTCTCGACTGCGGATTGACCCAATTTGTAGTTGAAGAAAAATATCGTCCGAAGTTGCTCTTTTGACATGCTTCAAAAAGTCTTGGGAAAAGGGGGTTTATCAAGCAATGGTGAAACGGCAATTATACCATCAGATAGCGCAAAAAATTCTCTTCAGGATGTACTACTGAGACGCAAGGGAGAATGAGTTTTTAATCAGCAATGAATGTACAAAAAATAGTAACACAAAACGCTGAGAACTTTCCGGACAACCTAATAGCTTACTCACGATGGCATCATTGGTGGGAACGGCCGCCCTGGTTGCGCTCCGATCCGCGCCCCGTCACACTATCGCAGGGATCATGACTGTATGTGACAAATCATTATAGTCCATGCTCTATTAGCGCTCACATTGTTTGTTGTCTGTGATGATGGCGACTCAGAGATACAGGGAGTAGCAGTGGTACGCGAAGAACGCGATAACGATGGAACAAAAATGACTCGTGGGTAAAACGGCGGTGTCAGGGCATCCCGTAAAAGAAGGGCCTCAGTACAAATCCTTTTCACAACCGACCTGCCATTTCTCCAAATCTTATCGAAATTTTGTTGTTGAGGGAGAGAAAAACACGTCCCTCATCCCCCCTCCCGCCACCCCTGAAGGTTTTGCACAAGGATTACGAACGCAACACGTGACTGTACCTCTCGAACTGCAAGATCTAAATGTATCTATTCCTAGTCGTGGAACTGGCAAACTGCAGAAAGTTGCTATTCAAGGCACTCCGCAATAGAGGAATCCTCAACGACAAGTCGAACATGAGACGCTGACGAATTCGGGAGAGGTTGCATTGGGCTCACTGGAGCAGTTCGCATCAATCAAGAGGGGTGCACAAAAGTTGGAAAGAAAATGAAACTTCCACGATCCCTGATATAGCATAGCTCCTAGCTGTCAATAGACGACTCGCCGAGTCCTCTTGGAGACAGGAGGTAAGAAGTGAAGAGGTAAATCAAAGTTTCAGTTTGGCTATACCTTTCAGCAAAAAAGGGGTCGGGTGTGCTTATCCCAACATCGCCCAACGGTGCCCCCTGGCGCAGCCTATAAACGCTGTCGTTGAACGGCCAATGTATTTCAGTGGCAAATTAGCGGGTATAGAAAGGAACTCCTACCGTCCAACGAGGAGAACTTAAGGGCTGGAGAATTTCTTAGAAATAACGGTAGCTTATGTCTGACTGCGGGTATACTCGCAGAAGAAAGTTCATCCGGAGGGAGCTAACTCCCTCGAAGGTCGGTAAGAACAAGCGTTGTCGACTTCTTCAAGGTCCTTCAGCGTCCAGCTTCCTAACCGTACCCGCTATAGTCCCCCAAAGATTACTGGTGAAGTTTCATGACAAGTTTTCGGAGTTTTTATTCCTATTCTGGCATAATCTCGCTCACAGCTCTGATTCCTAATTGTGAGTGCCAAATCGCTGACCATGGGTGATAACCGACACTCCTATTTTCTTACTTGAATTTCCGGTCAAACCCTCTACACCGCAACCACTGGGATCTGAGGTGACGCTACACACGAACAACAGGTTGCTTTGCAGTGAAGTATATTAGTGAATGTCGTGTCATAGTGATGTCGCAACAAAACTATGTAGCGTTATTTTAGTGTCTGCACAGTAAGGGCACCGCACTGCTTTATGGGCCGTTTACAGTCACCAACACGCGACTCATCGTAAACTTGCACCAGAGGGCTTCGGTGCGCCACTTGCCGCCAAAGTTCGTCAGAGGCTTTGAAGCTGGATGACTTTATTGCAGGCCACTGTGCTTATGGCAAAACTGATTCCCACCTTAACAATACCGCGTTGATCCACTGCCATGAGCCCCAATAATTGCTGAAACAGCACCCATCACATTGTGGAAATTCTTTACTTGGCAAGATTTCCAGAACTTTCGCCTCTAGGATTGCCCCGTTTTACAACCTAGCTGCTCTCAAACCAACTTCCTCTAAATTTTGCCATCGGCAAGGAAGACAGTGAACTCCTTCGATCAGCCACCAGTAGTTTTGCAGCGCCACCAACACTAAGGGAAGGGAGTGGCGTAGCACGCGTAGAACTAGTACAATCCACAATCAGAAAATTTTTGAGAACAGTTTGTCATCGTCATGTTCAACGCAAGGTATGGTGAATTCTGTGGTAAATGACTTGATATTTGTTCATGGCGCGCAATTACACTCGAAATCCCTGAGATGTGGTGGGCTTGGCTGCGTTCTTCAACTAATCGTAGCGGAGGCTGTGCTCCTGTAGAGATATTTTCATTCTCTCACAGTTGTAGTCATGTCCCTGTCTGAAACTGAACAAGATGACAGTTGTTTCAAATTGAAATATCCATTCCATGCCATGTTGAAATGCCACGCCTGCTCCGTCTCAGGGATAAGAACACCACTCAAAAAGTTACCCATCATGTTCCTATGCACGATATATGGGACAGAAACACTGAATAAAACGAATCGTCAACTCATAGAAGTCATTACAACATATCATGATGAGTCCAAGTGAGAACAATCTTTAACAATACTATGAGCAGGATCGTCCATACATGGCGACTAAACAAAATCCTGACTGTCCTGCGCAAGTTACAGTTTGGGTGAAATACTCAATCACACTCCGTACAAGCAAGACTGAATTCGAAGTGACGACGCAATCTTGAGGTAATGCCGTACAACAAGCTGAAGCTGCTTTTCTCGCACTTCTTTATGTGAAACAGTGGCAACACTATTATACCAGTCTGACCTCCACTCCATATCCTAGACACAAGCAGGGGCGTGGCTGCGTACTTCATTCGCACATGGCGTAGGATGTTTTTTGGCTTTACAAGGCAGCGTCCACGTTCAATTAGATGAGTTATGGGGCTCGGACAGTGACAACAAGGTAGCAATTAGTTCACTAGTGAAGCAAAATGCAAAAAAATTATCGGATATGTGCCCTTTATAAGATCCCACGCTCCCGAGCTTGAGGTTCAGTACGCTTGCAGGCGAAGAGAAGCGGCGCACGCTGGCCGCACCATTCGCCACTTTGTTCGCGTATCCAGCTGTTTCTCCCTTCATCACCTCACTCTCACCCCTCGGCACGTGGATCCCGCTAACGAAGTCGCACAGCTGACGCGCAGAAACACCGCACCATCAGGTAAACACTTAAATTTAAGTTATGCGTAGTGTGTCTTACAGGTGGGCGAGCGACGTAGCGCCGCTCCCCCCGACGCGGTCGTAATCATGTCGGTGGGGCCGACTCTTCACGAGCGGGCGCCGCTGTTCTCTCGCATTTTTGAGTTGCGAAGCTAGACGTCCATCTTCCCCGTAGGGTGAGCCACGATATCCAGAGAGGACGAGAGAGAGACGATGATGCTGAGAGAGAGACAGAGAGGAGACAGATCGGAGAGAGCAGAGAGAGAGAGAGAAGAGGAGACGA